CCTTGAGTCCCCTTCAGGGAAACTAGGTTTCTGGAATCCTCCACTCCAGATCCACGGGCCCCAGAGCTCCTGACCCCAGTGCTGAAGGCGCCTAGGGCATTGGAAACACAAAGTGTGAGTGTGTTTCTCTAAGAACGAGGAGAAAACCATAGATCTCATCATGGTAATGAACTCCATCCAGTAGATCCCTTGAATCCAGGGGTGGGACAAAGCGTGAATCTGGAGCAAGGCTGGAATCACGTCTGGTTCTGGTGGGGCATCCCCTTGAACACAGTCCTGAACTGCTCACCTGAGTATCCTCACCACATGACGCTGAGAGCTTAGATGTGATCACATCATGGATGGAAAACACTGAGCACATTTGGGTCAACACCAAGTGCACAAGTGTAGGAGGAGCTTCCTATGTGGCTGCAGAGGCCTTATTGCCCATACGCCGCCATGGAGGCCCTGGCCCTGCAGTGGGGGCGATGCCCTGTGACTTGCTCTGAAGAGCAGAGTTCAGCTACAGTGATGGACGTCACTCCGTGACAGCAGGTCTCATAGGAGTGTGACTTTCTTCTCCCTCACACCCTGTCCCTCACTGCTGGGACAAGCCTGATGCCATGTTGGGGCTGCGCTGTGGGGACACCCACGTGGCCAGGATAGAGGGCAGCCTCAGGCCAACACCAAGAGTCTAGTCCCAGGATCTGCTCTCCCTCCCCAAAAGCAGGGGTGAGGGGGAACCACACCCTCCCCTTTGGCCTTGAGCTCCCTCAGCTCCACACAGACCTGGATTTCAGTCCGAGACGCCCTGCAACTGAGGACCCAGCGTAGCTGCCCCAGGTCCTGACCTGCACAGACTGGGAGCCCACATGATGAGTTTCAGGGCCCCAGGGGACAGTAGGGGACCCAGCAGCCGGTGACGGTGACAGCACTGATGGAGGTGGGTCTGGTCCCCTCCTGGGAAGGCCTGAGTCAGGCTTGGCAAGGCTGCATGACAGGCCTTCACTCCAGTCCCTCCAGCCTCCCCCACAGATCTAGGGCTCCCACCCCACGCCCAGCACCCCTTAGCCCTCAGGCCACAGGCCCTCAGCACCTGCATCAGTTGGAAGGTGGTCACACCGTCCCTGCCCCGGGCCAGCCAGGAGAGTGACAGGGACTCAGCCCTCAGCCCCCTGCCGGCCCCTCCTCCGTCCCTTCCCTCCAGAGGTCACCGTCCTCTGACCCCCAGTGCAGGACGAGGTCGGGGCAGACACGTGCCCTGGGTGCAGGACCCCCCCCCCCCCGACACGGCACAGACCAGGTGCACGGAGACGGCAGGGGACACTGTCACCAGGTCTGTCTAAGCAAGTCAGGCGGTGAATGCCCCAGGGCCCACAGAGCAACATTCCATCCCTCCCATCAGAGACTGGTCAAAAACTTGATTTTGAACTCTCAGCTTCAGGGACTGTGAAACAACAACTTGATGAGGTTCAGGCATTGGGTGTATAGGATCTTGTTCCCACAGCCCCAGGAATCCGATACAGGAGCCCAGACGCTGTGACCAGCACGTGTGGACCTTGTGAGGGCTCCTGGGACCCAGACCGGGCCTCATCACAGCCAAAAGCTCATTGTCCTCTTTCTCTTCTGGCCTGAGCTGGAAACCAAAGGCCCCTCACGTGCCCTACGACAGAGGTGTTTTGGGTCTTTCTCCACAGACATCAGATCCACAGGAGCCCCCCTCCCTGCCCCGCACAGCGGCCTCCCGCCCAGGGACCCGGGCCACTCACTGAGGAGGAGGCTGGTGAATCCCAGGAGCCAGGGGGCCCGGCACAGGCGGGGGGCCTCTGGGCGGGTTCCCATCACAGGCTCACTCCTTCCAGGCTTGCTCTGGGCCTACCTGAGTGTGGACGAAACATCCAGAAGACAGAGGCAAGAGAGGAGGAAAGCTTCACTCAGAGAAGCTCTAAGCTCTTCCCACCCCAGGGGTGGAGCAAACTGTCTAGACAAGAGGGATGGTCTAGAGAAAGCCATTCAGATGATTCCTCTGACCTCCCCCTGCTGCGGGACTCAGGGATGATGGCAGATGAAGGGTGAACACCCCCTTGATGAACCTCTGGGTGGGATAGGCCTTGTCCTGTGGGCACCTCCAGTCCTGGTGATCTCAGCTCCTCCGTCAGTACCCAGCAGGACCTCAGCTTGTGTCCTCGGTTCACACTCAGCCCGGCAGCCCTGCTCCCCAGGGACAGCTGATGGCCAGACGCAGAGTCACACTAACCACCATACACAGGGCCTCCCCTGCTCTGGGCCTGTCCTCTCTCTTTACACCATTTAACAAGTCAAATTTCCCTTCTGCTTTTCTCTGTACATCAACAGCGTGGCCTCCAGCGAGTCCACGCATCCTCTCCAGGCTCCCCCGACCTGCTCTGAGCACCTCAGACAGGAGAACATCAACACTGCCTTCTTCCCCGGCCCCCGGCCCGTAACGGGGATGGTCCTTCAGACCATCAGTCCCTGAGCCTCGTGGGAGAAACTCCGGGATCGAGTCCACATCTGGGCAGCTCACCACTGGTCACTCCAGCCTGATGGGGAGCAGGTCGGCCACGCCCCTGTCCCCGTCCCTACACCCCTGGGGAGCACTCTCCGGGGAGGAGTGTTTACTTGGAAATCCAGTGCATGGGGGCAGGGCCCAGGGCCCTAGATGGAGCCCCCAGCAGCTGCAGGGAGGGGCAGCCACCACACGTCTATGCAGGCACTGCAACAGGGACTTATTCAACCTCCAGATACAGATCTCTGTCACCTTCCGCTGTCTGGGGAAGCAAAGGAGCTAATGTCACTGTCCACAGTGTGTCTACTTTTCTATGGTTCACAGGTACAGGCCCTATGAGAGGCCATTTCACAGATGAGGAAAATCAGGGCCCATTTACAGTATTTGATGAGCCCACAGTCTGGAAGCCGGGATGTGGCAGGGCCAGGCCCACATCTCAGGCTCTTAAGCCACAGATCATTCCAAACCCAAGTCTCTCCTGACCTTGAGAAGCCACACTGAAGGGGGAGGGAGGCCAGCCTGCTCCAGAGCAGCCTCTCTCCTTTCTCACGCCCCCATGCAGAGGAAACAAGGGCTGTGGTGGCAGTTCTGCAGGCTCTGAGGTAAATAGAGTCCCTTGCTGACCAAAGTCTCCCCCTTGCACTTCCTGTTCACACATGGACCAGTGCCTCCACCCCTGCTCAGGGTGGGGCTTGCTTCTCCTTCACCCTAAGAAAATTAAATAAGAGGAATACTGACTATGGAGGATAAAATAAAACCAACTTGTACTCAAATGACATGGTTTTCTACATACAAAATCCAAAAGAATTGACACAAGAAGCAGAAATATTCTTCATGTGCTGAGGGATGATTGCACGATTGCAGGAAACACAAGATTCCTACATGACACTCAATTACTCACTTTCACACCAGCAATGAAGAAATAAATTTGAAACTGAAAACACAGTACCATTTACACTGACAACTCAAAAGTGAACTATTTAGGCCTAAATAAAACAAAACATGCAAAGATCATTATGAGGAAAACTACAAGAGTCTCATAAACAAAATCAGAGAACTCTAAATACACTCTAAATGTTCTGGATAAGAAGACTCTTTATTGTCTATATATCCATTCTTCCCAACTTGATCAATACATTAGGTCAAACACAAACTACATTCCAGAATGTTATGTTGTAGACATTGATCATGTGATTCTTCAGTTTGCATGGAGAGAAAATGATGCAGAGGAGCCCATGTTGCAGAAGAGTGAAGGTTGACAGCTCACATCCCCTCCTACAAGACTTCCTATAAAGTACAATCATCAAGACAGTACAGATTTGGGGAGGGAAGAGCCAAATAGATTATGCAACAGAAGAGAGAGCCCAGAAATAGATCCATTAGAAGGGGAACTGCTCTTTGACAAGGAAGCAAAGGCAATACCATGGAAGAAAGACATTTTCTTCAACAAATGATGCTAGAATAATCAGACATTCGCCTGCAAACAAAACAAAACAAAACAACAACAACAAAAAAACACCGAGACACAGAGCTCACACCCTTCACAGAAAACAAATCCGTGGATCAGTGACCTCCACATAAATGAAGAATTGGGAAACTCCTACAGGATAGCATAGGAGAAATCTAGATGTTCTTGGGACTCACAATTATGTTTCAGCAAGACACGAAAGGCTGAATTCATGAACGAAAGATGAGATAAGCAAGAATTCAGTGAAATGAAACACTTCTGCTCTGCAAAGAAAATCACAGGAAGGCAAAGACAAGCCACAGACTGGGAGAAAAAAATCTGCAAAAGGCATATCTGATAAAGAAATATTAGCCAACATATATAAAGAACTCTGAAAACTCAACAGTAAGAAAACAAACAACCTAACCAAGAAAGAGGCCCAAGGCACAAATAGACACCTCACCAAGGAGGATACACCGATGGGGAAAAAAAGCACAGGAAAGATACCCCAAATCATATGTCATAAGGGAAAGAGAAACGGAAGCAATGAGACATCCCTTCACCTGTTAGAATGACTACAGTCTGAGCACCGCCTCCCCCAGTGCTGGTGAGGAGGCGCCACCCCAGGAGCACTTACTCTCTGCCACTGGGACACAACATGGCACCGATGCTTTGGAACATGGCCTGATGGTTTCTTACAAACTCAATATGTTCCTACCATACAATCCAGCAACCTCCCTCCTGGGTAATTGCCCAAAGGAGTTGAATACCTAGTTCACACTAGAACCTACATCTAGATGTTTCTAACAACTTCCTTCATAATTGCCAAGATCTGGAAGTACCAAGTGGTCCTTCACTTGATGAATAAATAAATAAACTGGTCAATCCAGACAAGGGAACATCAGCAGCTCTAAAAAGAAACAAGCTATCAAATCACAAAAAGACTCCCAGGGACTTAAATGCATGTTACCACATGAAAGACGCCAATGTGAAGGGTACACACTGTATGATTCCAACTACACGACATTCTGGAAAAGGCAAATTAATTTGTTATGTTTATTTATATCTTTTGAGAGAGAGAACTCAGTGAAGAGGCAGAGGGAGGGACAGAGAGATTGAGAGAGAGAGAAAGAGAGAGAGAGAGACAGAGAGAGAATGCTAAGCAGTCTCAGGGCTGCCAGCACAGAATCCAATGCAGGGCTTGAACCCATGATCATTGTGATCATGACCTGAGCAGAAATCAAGAGTGAGACACTTAATTAATGGAACCACCCAGGCGCCCCAAAAGACAAAATTGTGGAAATAGTAAAAACATCAGCGTTTTCCCGGGATTGGGGGAGGAGTCATGAACAGAGGGAACACAGGATTTTAGGGCAGTGAAAATACCCTGTGTGATACTCTCTAATGGTAAATATATGTCTTTTCCCTTTGTCTGAACTCACAGAACACGGAGAAGGTGACAGGCAGGGAGGAAGCCCCTGGCCCAACTGAGCCCATGGTCAAGAGAAACTTTGGCAAGTCCTTCTGGGCCAAGTCCACCGAAGTCATGATGGGGGGTGGGCTCACACACAGCAAACAGATAGCATGGAGCCAGTTTGAGCTTTTTGGCCTCAAAGAACACCTAGGTCTGCTCCACATGCTCCCCAAGGAAGCCCCCCGCCTGTAGGTCAGCCCCTGCATTTGCACCTGGGGCCCCAGGAGTCCAGCCCCAGCTGTGCATCTAGTTTCTAGAAGGAAGGCAAACTTCCAGGTGATCCTTGCAGGATTGTTACCAGAGGTTGTCAGAGATGCTCCACAGCTTTCTGGCCTCTCCTCCAGGCGGCCGTTGGGTGGCCTCAGGCCTGAAGAAGGGACTCGGCCCTCGTGACTTAGGAAGTGGTAGCAGTCTGTGCAGATGGGGGAAATCTGGACAACTTTCGAGGCCCCACCTCGTGGACTTTAGAGGCCCCAGTGCTAAATGCTGACAAGATGGCCAGGCCCCCCAGGAGGTTTGTTTCAACCGTAAACTCCCAAGGTCATGGAGAGGATCCTGATCGGAAACCCCCACCCCCACCCCTAATATCCCACATTCCAGATCTAGACCAAGACACTCTGAGATGAAAAGAGTCCATGGGACACGTCTTCAGGAGCCTCTTCCTGGGTACCCGACACTTGTCCTGGAAGAGAACCACGTGTCACTGTTGATGTTGACCTTGACCACTGCCCCAGGCAGTGCCTGTCAGCAAAGTTTTATGACCTCCTTTGAGTTCTCCCCTCCATTTCTAAGGGAATGGCCTCATGAAATAACAGGTCAGGAGACAGAAGTGTCCCCTCAGGTGTCACCTTCCGCAGTGGGGGACACAGGGGACAGGACACACCTCAGGGGACTGACACCTTTACCTAGGGATGGTCAAGGGAACAGTCTGGACAACCTGAGGGACATGTGAGAACTTGCCTTAGACCTTAGCCCAGGGGCAGGCCAGGGGGAGGGGGGAGGCGGAGTCGTGAAAGGCCAGAGGGCAGAGGGCGGAAAGGGTGGGGGTGAGGGAGGCAACTGGAAGTGAGACCAGAAAAGAGAGCCTGAGGCACGACTGGGAAGGAGAGCATTGCCCGAGCCTCCCCATAAAGAGCACGTGAGCAGGTATTTGTTTCATGTTGCAAGTTTCTGAGATTAGGATACATCATAGAACCGATGTTACTTAGAGGCACATGAAACGATATATCAAAATTATCGATAAAAAGTAGCTTTGAGAAACACAGTAGCTAAAATGAACTGTGAGAAAATAGATGGGTCCCCTTGAGAAGCAGGGCTGGGGATTCAAAAGTGGGAGGGAGACTCTTTATCTGGGCACGTTTGCTCCAGTTTTTAACCGTATGTGTATAACCTGATATTTGTCATCAGGAGCTGTCTTCCAGCGAGAACATGGAACGATTTATTTCCTCTGTGTTGTTCATCTTTGAACATTTGAGGCAACAGGGGTACCTGGGTGCTCAGTCGATTAAGTATCATACTGTTTCACCCCAGAACCTGGATCAGGACCTTGAGTCTCAGACTCAGGATCCTCAAGTGATCCCCCTTTCCCAGGTAACCCACCCCACTCCCAACCCCACATAACCCTTCCCCCCCCAATCACAGTCCTGGACCTCAGATCCCCACCCTCGTCCCCAGCCCGCACCCCTCCTACACCAGGACCTCGCCCCCCACCGCTCTCCAGGGCTCCTACCTTCCAGATTTGGCTCCTGATCCCTGAGTCCTGGCTGCACATTTACGTCTACACTGCTGCCCTTGGGACCTGCCAGCCCTCCCAGTGTCGCTGGCGCTAATCTCCCCCTTCTGCCCTGTGGTGGGTCTGGGGTCAAAGGGAGAAGTTCCGCGGCCCCGCCCCCCTCAGCCCCACCT